CAATCTCTGTACTCTATGCCTGGTGAGCAGGTGTGCTCCCAAGAGTCAAAAGCTCCTCCTTGACCCACCGATGTGTTTAATAATGTATCCCACCGTTCTGAGGTCCCATCCACTAATAATGACTCAGCAGCTGACGTTCTTATGAGCTGCATCGCTGCTGTATTCTTGACATAACGAGACACATTCAGTTAGGAAAGATTTTTCTGTAAACATTGGTCCAAACTGAGTATTTTTGTACACAGATGCAAAATAGTGAAAGGGTTAGCAAAGGTATTCACCCTCCCTTTTTTCTGTTTTGTTGTTTTTCTAACGTGAAAATTAAAAATAGTTCTTTTTTATTAGTAGTAGACTAATTGGAGTTAATTTRGGAAGAGAAAAACTTTAAGCCTGAACTTTTCAGTAGGGATGCATCGATCTCCTTAATTTTGGGTGATCCGAGATCRGTGGKAAAGATCAGCTTCTCATCTACCTCCACAAAGGTCTGAAAATCAGCCACTGTCCCCTTTTGCTCTGCTGTGAGACCTACCTAATGTCCATTTAAAACAAGTTTGTATTGTTTCAATGGTATYATTCAATGTTTTTCAATAAAATAAGATTGGAACATTGAAGGTGTATTGTGACTTTATAACACCTGACAGTGTCAGTTGTTTAAAACAAACGTATCAGCAGGTCCGACTTTTTAAAGATCGGTAATCGGCCAGAAAACTGCAATCGGTGCACTCCTACTTTTTAGCCATGACTGACACCTCTTATTCTGCTGAGAACTCCTTCCCTACATTAAAGTACAACCATACTGTTTAGTTGTATGTAATGGGTTTTGTTTTGTTTTTTAAATGAAATGAATAAACATTCTAACWAAAAGTAGGGATGTCCCGATCCGATACTCAGTATTTGTATCGGTGGCAGATCTGGCCATTTTTTGAAAATCGGGTAGAATCAGGTTTAGTCATGTGATCGGGCCGATCCAGTTTTGCAACAGTTTTCAGCATCATCATGCTTTACAACTGCCATTAAGAAATCAAGACGCACACAAGTATGTAACCATGTCCACAGCGTGGGAACACTTTTCAATAGAAAACTATGATGCTGAAATTGCATCTTGCAAAATCTGCAAACTGGATGTTTCTCGTGGTGGGAACAGCAGGGCTCGCTTTTAACACTACTAACATTTTCACTTGGAAAGAAATAAAGCTATCTGTATCAGATCGGTATCGGAAAGACGAATCAATAAAAAAATCGGATTGTATCGGGAGCCAAAAAATCTGGATCGGGACACCCCTGTACACAATGAAGCATTGTGGTGGCAGCATCATGCTGTATGAATGTTTTTCACCAGCACTGGCTAAGAAACTGGTCAGAGTTGAAGGAAAGCTGGATAGTGCAATATGCAGAGACATTCTTTGGGGGGGAACTTGTTTGAGTCTTCCAAAGATTTGAAATTGGGATGGCAAGACCCTGATCTTAAACAGTGGTTTAAGGAGTGTTGTCCTGGAAAAAGCTGAGACCTCAATCCAGCTGAGAACATCTGGTTTGATTTAAAACAYAAGTAACGCCCATCCATCTTTTTCAAATTTTTTCTTTGTTAAATTTCCACTATACAGATATTTAGCATTTTTAGCATAGTCATAAAAAAACAACAACATCAACCTTTCACTTAAATTCCAGGTTGTACAATAGCCACAGCCAGTATTTATTTATAAAAAAAGAGGTTTGGGACAATCAGTAAAGCTTAAAAACTCTAATTGAAGTTTATGTAGGTGTACAGGTGACTAACTCTGTTAGGAGTCACTCAAGCTGAAGATAATGAAGGTGTAAAAAYTGCATGACATTCTTCTGTTCTGTGCTGCTCGCCTCAGGCTTGGACTCCCCCTGCCTAAGTAATGACAGCCTGTGTGTGTGAGAGTGCACCAGAAGCCATTTATTGATCCTTCTTATAGAACATCAACAGCTACCCTGTGACACAAAGCATTAGTGAGATTAGTTAAACTGCAATGTGTTTGATTAAAGATTGATGTGTAGCTGTTTGTTTGTTTTTGGTTTTCTCCCACAGAGCAACTTTAACGTGGCAGTGCTGAATGTCGGTGCCCCCGCAGCAGGCATGAACGCCGCCGTCCGATCGGCTGTCAGGGTGGGAATCTCCGAGGGACACAAGATGTTCGCGGTCAGCGATGGATTTGAGGGATTTTACAAAGGACAGGTGAGCTCTGCACTTCATCAGGAAATGTCACAGGAAAAGAATTTCAGTTGTAAGTCTGTTCATAGCCAAAAGCCCCAAAAAGGCTTGATGGAAAAATATTGTTCGTGACTGCCATTTTCCACATCAGTAACTGAGAATTGGCTTAGCTTGATGAGCGTCAGACTCTGTGAGCAATCATTGTTAGCTGCCTCACTGAAGAATAATCAGGGAAAGTCAGAGGATAATCTGTGCAGATTATTGTAAACCTATTTCTCTCRTGAACTTCCTGAGCAGATGTAGTAACAGAAATAATCACTAGATGGCAGCAGAGCCTTTAGTTTTTTTGGCAGACACAAAAGCACAGATGTCTGATTATCATGAATTCTCTCCTCGTTCATGAAAACAATGAGTTTTAAATACAGAAAGGTGTCTGTTGGACAATAAAATGAAAATTAGATTTTAATCTGGGACTAGATTATTTTTTCTGTGTTCTGCTACAGGTGGAACTGGTTTCATGAGAATAAATTAGGTATCTCAGATCACCATGAAATAATCCCAACTTGTCTTCATCAGGAGATTTGATAACACTGAGTCTAACAGTCTGTGTAAACTCGGACCTGCTGACATCAAACTTTCAGAAGTTTATACCAGAGGGAGAAATAAAATCCTAAAGTTTAAATCTCTCAGACTACAATTCTGTGGAAATAAGAGGTTGTGCAGCAAATTACTGTAATGTTTTCTCCTCACAGAAGMCGCTCTGAGTTCTGATGATATGTTGGAAACTGAGTAACTGTATTTAGGCATTTACGTAAACACAGGAACCATTTTTAGCATTCCTTTCATGAATTTTTAATATAAAAGCTATTGATTTGCTTTGACATTGGACACTGAAACAAGTCAGTGAGTTCGTTGTGAAACCAAACATTGTCCTTTGTGTGATATTTAATCTGTCGTTCTTCCTACAGATTAAGGAAGTTAAATGGGGTGATGTCGGAGGATGGACRGGACAGGGTGGCTCCCTTCTGGGAACTAAAAGGTAAAGGTTTTATGCAAAGTCAGAGTTGTTGAAGGTAAAGTTCAGATATCTTTGTAGAGGGGTTTTGTGAAAACAATATCTTACCTGTTGTAGATAGTTTATCAGTCCAGTCAAAATGAAACAATTTTCCCAAAATGAAAGAGCTAACAGCTCGTCTGAGTACGATCAAAACTAAAATGGATTGCTGCCATCTCAAAGCCACAAACACCACTCTATAAATTATTTACACTAACATTATTATTGGATTACACAGTTAATTGTGTCAGTAGGAGGTAGCTGCAGCACTTCTGGCATCCTATTGTAAAATTTCTGCTGAATTACCATGTAATTCAAAATTGTCTAAGCTGTGAAGATTTAAAGCTAACACTCACTAAGGAATTTTAAAGACTGGGTTTGTTTTAAGGCAGAACAATTCACTTTTGAAATGGTGTTGACGACCTAATGTTTTGTTCGAGTGTGCCTACAACTTTAATCTTCAGAGTTCTTTAGTTTTATTTCTAAAATTGTTAACTTTCTTTAACGTCCTAAAAAGTTAGTGTTTACAGCAGCTGTATACACCTTTTTGAATAAATCCTCAAGATGTCTAAATTGACAGCTTTCTGAGTGATTTCTTGAAAATCAAACTTTCTGATTTCTCCTCCTCAGAACTCTTCCTGCAAAGCATATCGATAAAATTGCAGAGCAGATGCGAAAGTATAACATAAACGCTCTGCTGGTTATCGGAGGATTCGAGGTATGTTTGAAATCTCTTTTGATGCTTGTAGTTAGGCTCATKTTTAATTTACTCTACAAGCTCAGATCTTTAGTGCTGAATATTAATGACTTAGCAACATTATTACTGCTCACGTTATTGAAACAGACAGCTGTTTTTCTTATGATGTGCTGAAAATTGTTTAGTGTTGATTTCATTCCATTAGTCCTCTCCCTTTCATGCCAAAACCTCACCATATGGTTCATGTGTACATAAGAATGCTTCAAAGTCGATTCTCTGCCTCAAACTGGAACAACAGAGCTAACGAGTTCCAAAGCAACACGAACCGAGATGCATGGCGAGAATAACTCGAAGCATTCGACTGAAATTAGAAGTGAAAGTGGAGATAATTGGGTGCTTTCCTCCAGCCATTTCACGCAGTCCTGTTTAGATGCTCACCAGCTTCAATTATTTCCTGATGAATGCAAGTAAAAAGACTTTTCCTTTGTTCGTATGTGTGTTTGTGGGGCTGAATGTGGAGTAGTACCTGTCTGTTTCGCTGCTGTCCGTTGTGATAGACCTGGCTCCTCCCCTTGGCACTTTTCACTTTTGTCTTTCCTTTCCTTGTGGCAAGTAGCACCTCTCTCAACCCAACCACCATGCCAAAGTCTCTCTCCCTTCCAGACCCTACTAAAGCCCTTGGCTCTGCCCTGCAGGCCTTGCTGTCACTGCTGGAATTGTCAGCGGCTCGTGGGAAATATGACGAGTTCTGTGTGCCGATGGTCATGGTCCCAGCCACTGTCTCCAACAATGTGCCTGGCTCAGACCTCAGCATTGGCGCCGACACGGCCCTGAACGCCATCACTACTGTAAGTGATGGGGCCTGGCGACAAGATTTAGATGAACTCAGCAGCACATAAACACACACACACCCATACACACACACACACGGAATCCACAAACTTGCTCACACAGCAAAACCTTGTTCTTCCAAGAAGGGAGAGATCGCTCACTCAGTCTTTTCACCAGTGACTCTTACTCCTGCCAGCCCGTCAGAGGATTATCTGGAAGAGAATTCCTGTGACGGCTGGCRTATGTAAGCCACATCTGGCCTACAGGAAAACTCCAATCAGAGCTTTAACATTTTTGCCTCGCAGCACAGCTGCACTGAGTATGATTGGTGAAAACTAAGGTGTACAGTAGCATCCCTCCCTTCAGTAAAAAGGTAAGTAAGTGAGTAAAAACATGGAGGCATGCTGTGTGGTGCACAAGCGTCGTGACCGCCATGTTTGCGCTGCCTGCCCCCACCCCCCACCCCCCACCACCTATATGTGTGTGTCCTTCCTTTTTTGTGAAATAAGATAAAGTAGATTTTCTTGTGTAGTTAGTTTACATGTCTACACCTTCAGAAAAAAGATTAAACAGTATGGAAAATCCAACTAAAAAATTTAAAAGACTGAAATCAAGATGTGCTTTTTGTTAACTTTATTTTATTTAATAGGAAATATTGAACGTTTCCAGCCACCACAATTTTTATTTTTATTATATTTGGATTCTTATAAGTTCTGTAAGTGCCATTTATTGTCAAACCTAACAAAACAACATAACAATAGTCCAAGCTTGCAAGCTCATATTCTCATCTAACAGAAATTAAACATACCYGGAACCTTACACCTTGTAACTTTTTACCTTTTTTAAAAGTCTGAAGACTGATTATGGCAACTCTAAAAGATTATAAGAACACTTAGCTCTTTGGAAACAAAAATGAAGGATGATTCAAGGTTTGCACAGCAGTGTACATCCATTCCTGCATTCCATATCTGTGGTACCTTAGCATTAGTTCTCCAAAAATTGCCTGAGACTTTCCTACTAGGCTTCTTCTGTCCACTGCAGGACCATTGGATCTGTGGCTACAAAGTCATACTTGGGAATAACAATCCCTGTGACACTTCACAAAAGGAGGTAGTTGGTCTTTAGGGTGAATTTTAAAATCCTCCTTTATTTTCTGAGGTTTCCCAGGTAACTCTTGGTAGCTTTGAGGTCRTGTTTACTCATGTCTTTATAGTGGAATTGTGGCTGTCCACTTGGCCTTTTTCCTGTAGAAAATCCTCCAATTAGGAGGTTTTTAGGAAACTTCCATCGTCCATGCAGTACACATGACCCACCCAACTTGAACACTTATAGAATTAAATCAAGACAGAATATCCATGTTAGGCACTTTGTCTCCAGGAAATGCAGAATATTCGGTGAAGGCAAGGATTTTTCTTTCCTGATGAGCCTTGGCTGTCATGTCTCACTGCGGTATAGGAGTGTTCTCACTACACAAGCCCTATACCCCTGCACTTGCATGAGACAGTTAAACTATTTAGAACTATGTTCTTCAAAAGCAGTACGATGTGGTGGTAGATATGAAAAACAAAAAAGCCACGTGTTACCTCTGTGCAGAGGTGGCATCAACCTCTCTGGGCTGGGAAGCGTTGAAGACGAACAATCACTTAGTGGAAATATGAATTAGGTTTCAGACAAATCAGTATTCCAGATCTCATTTGGGGAAAAAAGGGGTGTGTTGTGCTCCAGGCCCAAAGAAAAACAAAAAGGCACCAATTCCAAAAGCTGTAGTCTGTATGGAATGCACATGGTGCACAAATTCTAGAAAACAGGGCTGCAGAGAAAGAGGCTATGGGTACTGAACTAGCCTGCCTGCAGTTTTTAACTTATTCCCAGTAGAAAAAAAATACTTTTAGATGATTTAAGTGTGTTTGCAGGGAAAAAAATCCTTATCCTTCATGCAATAACATTTGTAGGTGTTTAATATTAAAAAAGCAGGAGTGGATGTATACTATCAAAATAAATCAAACTGATAGATGATCTTTGGTTCATATCTGCAATAACATAAAATTCAAAGTAAACTGAATAGTCATTGTTTATATGTTTTGTATTTTCCATACTGGCTTAGATTTTTGTTTGGGGTTGTGCAGACTTTTAACAAAACAATGTAAAAGTCTAATTCTTAGTCAGACCATCATCKTATTCAGTTCTTCATCCTCCCCTTGGTGTTTTGCAGACTTGCGTGCCGCTTGTCCTGCCTGTAGAGTTTAGATGGGCCAACAGCTTTTGTAGCGTCAAACGATTGCTCCATGCTGTGGCGCACAAACACACAGACCTCCATCCTGTTGTGGTTTCACATCTTTTGTTTATCCCTCTTTTTCTGTCACCTATTTCGCACCACACACCCTCTTTTTTTCATCAGTTTTACCCTTTCTTTTTTGTCCTATCCTCTCCACTGCTCTGTTTGCGCTCCTGTCCTCGTCTGCCAAAGGGAAGCCACGGCGGCTATCACACGGAAAGAGCCAGAATGGCAGGATACGCTCTCACGAGCTGAGAGAGTTTCACCTCTCTCAGTGGTCAGCCCCTTTCGGTGGCTCTAACATGTGTTCTATATACTGCCGCTTCAGGCGCTTGAGTGTTTGCTGCAGCTGTATGAAGCTCGTGGTACCTTTGAGGAGTTTTGCATCCCGATGTGTATGCTGCCTGCCACCATAAGTAACAATGTACCAGGCACTGAGCTCAGTATTGGGGCAGACACGTCCCTCAATGCTATTGTGGAGGTAAGGCAGTTTGAGCCGCCGCAGCTTTGACCCACTTCTGTTCAAGATCCCTTTCAGAGATGCACATTAATTATCAGTGGAGCTAATGGTCCAGTGTTAATAACAAATAAGATGCCAGGCTTTAAAATCACACAGTGTTGCATGAATGTTTTTTTYCCCATAAAGTTGTAATCCTTGCAGCATCTTGATCTACAATCTAATTTGGATTGCATGTCTGACACTAATTCTAAACTTTTACTTCTGTTGAAACTTAAAACTCATYAGCTGATAGACAGAGACACTTAAATTTGATTATCAGCACTGGACCAATAAGTAAAACTTTAGAAAGTTGTTTTACATTTGATCTGCTCTCTTGCTCTTTGCAGGACTCCAGTCTGTCTGGTAAAGCAGCATTTTGCTTCAGTTTGTGAATTCAGTAACAGACCAGCATGTTGATTTGCTTGTTTTTATCCATGTGAAATGTATTAAAGTATGCTAACAGTAGGAYTGGACATAAGGTCACTTTATTACTTTGCTGTTTTGTACCCCCGTGCCGTACCCAGGAGTTACTATGTGGTACCTATGTACTTACTAATTCATATCCATGTACCGGTATTTATCTTTATAGTAAAATAATTTCTGAAATATGTGGGTAAATATTCATATAAATATGCATTTGCCAACCACTTGGATATTGGAAACACTTAAAGGGGGTATTATGTGCAATGACAATAAAGGYATCATCATCGTCATCATGTATTTTCCAGGCACATAGTTCAATTCTATACCACAATCAAGTAACTGTCACCTTCACTTGTCATGAAAATGCTCTATATATCAACAATATATTTGAATTTTCATCAGAGCCTAAATGCTTTGAAATTGGCCTCTGTCTCTTTAAGAGCCAGGCGGTGCTTTGAATGAGCAAGTGTTTAGGCAGCTCATGGTTACCACAGGAGATTCAAAGATTTCTCAAACATGCATGAATGAGTCAAATCAACACTGGGTATGTTTTTGATTAGGGAACAATGTTATAACATGATATAAAACTAAAAAAAGTCAATTTTCCATAATACCCACCCCATCTATTMCCTTACCCAAACCCCCTATCCCTAATTGTAACCAAATATTTTATATTATCGTTTATGAAAATACCTCAAGGTCAGTTTAAAAAAGTAAAAATATTAATAAATAAATAAAATAAATCCTAACAAGGCAGCAGCTCCAAGTTGGAAAAGTAAGATRCCTCATAGTAGGGACCCCAACCAAAACACCCAGCTCCTTTTTTCTCCCCATGAAAGTATAGATATGAAGTGACCAAAACTGGCAAAGAAATAAAGTAACCAGTAACCCATATGACTGCTAACCACTGCCCCAATATTTATGCTTGTTTGATTTGTTGCCACTTTGATGGGTTCAGCTAAAGTYTAGTAGCTCAGAGATTTACACATTTAGCTCACATTAATCCTTAGTGTTCTAATGTTGAGCATGTGTGCATGTGTCAGACKTGTGACCGCATCAAGCAGTCTGCCAGCGGGACCAAGAGACGYGTGTTCATCATTGAGACCATGGGGGGCTACTGTGGCTACCTGGCCACAGTAGGAGGCCTGGCTGCTGGGGCTGATGCAGCGTATATCTACGAGGAACAGTTTGATATCAGAGATCTGCAGGTAAGACATCACACATGAGTTTCTATCCCTAGTAAGAACGTATTGAATTCAAGTCTTTTTTGTAGCCTAACCCTGACCCTTAACCTAAACCAAACAATGACCAGTGCTTGACTAACCCTAATCTAAATTCAATTTATACCTTAGTCCCAAACTTAATCCCTGAACCCAAAAATGACGTTCCGCCATTTTAGGACTGGTCTTTGGTCCACAACAGGCCCACTGGTCCTGACAAATTTGGTGTTTATACTAGAAAAAGTACTAAAAAGGTAACAAAATCTAGGTACACACACAGACACAAAGGACTGATGCTACACTACATTCATCTTCAAAGTTGGAATTTAGGCATACAGTAAGAATGACAAAGTCCACTTAACCATGCTCCAGTTTGACTTTTAGAAAATGGTGTTTGCTCATTGTTGCACGCAGTGATCAGGCTAACTACCCTGAACAATAAAGGCCATTATAATTATCTTTCTGCATTTTGTAGATTCAAACATTGCAGCACGTTGTTTGTTAATAGTTTGTGCAGTACTCTGTGTTCAACTGATGACTGAGGCAGCCATATTTGATTTTAAAGTTGGTGCTGCTGAGAATCCTCAGACTTTTCCAGTTTCAAGTCAGAAAAATCCATTAACCCCCCCCCCCCCACACACACACACACACACAGCTTGAGTCAGTGTTTTGTAGTAGTTGTTTATGACATGATCACCAATAGACCATTTCTTTAGTTGCGAAACAGAACAGTTTCACAACTAAAGATGTCACACAACAAAGACCAAGTAATACCAATTATATTGGTTTGTGTTGCTAATGATAATCGTGTTTACTGAGCACAACAATTG